GACGCCGTGCCCCTCGGGCTGCCCTCGTCCGGGCCAACAGCTCTCCCCTGCAACTTTCTTCCCGACCCGCGTTGTTTTATTTACCAACAGACCCAGTGGGGAGCTTTTCTGTTTGCTACCTCGGTGCCTCTTGCTTGGTGGTCACCGCGTGCCCAAGTGGGGAGGGCACAGCTTGGGGACACACGAGGGCCGTGGGGGGGACCCGATTGCCATAGGAGGCAATTTGCTGCTTTCTGGGAAACCGGCGAGTGCGGCCAGCACCCCCATTCCCAGCAGCTGAGCCTCGGCCCGCACGTTCAGGGGACCCAGCCCCGACGACACGCAAAAAAAGCCACCGTGGGGAAGTTTCGGGGCTCCGGGTGCGCGCTGCTGTTTTCTTTTGTGTGTGCGGGTGGGAGGGGGAGCCGGGAGGGCGAGGTTTGTTTGGGTTGGGATGGCGGTGGTGGTTTCTTAGGGTGGCAGGGCGCTGCAGAGTTTGCCCTGGTAACTATGACCCTACGTTTCTTTGTTTTTATTTTCTTCCTCCAACGTCCGATTGCTAGGCTAAGAATTACTGCTTAGCCAAGCATGGTCCCCGTTGGGGAGACAGTTTTACCACTGCGATCCTATCCGCCCAACTCCTCATCTTGTCCTAAAGAAGGTTACTAACACTTTTCTCCCCTTTTTCTTTGAATAGTTAAAAAAAAAAAAAAGGAGAAGGATTTGACCTTGTCAGTAAGCACCTGTTTTTGAGTTGGAGTTCGCCAGACTTGAAAAGCCTTTTAATAATTTATGTTGCAAAACCGAGCACGTTATTAATTGCTCAGTCTAAATAATTAAAGTATGGGAGTTCGTTTCTGGTGGAGTTGGAGAAAGCCTGGTGGCATCTGAAGTACTTATATAGTGATTTGGGGAAGGAGGATAATTCTTGGCCCTAAAGGTATGCTTGGCTCTATGTCTGGCGATTGTTCGCTGTGTTATCTTGGGATGACCTTGAAGAAGCTTGCGCACAGGGAGTTGGGCCTTGGAGGTTTGGTGTGGGGGCTGGGGAGGAAGCTGCTGGGAATGGCTGGCTAGCCGAGCTGTCCCTGCCGGCCTCTTCCCCGTTCCTGGGAATTGTGGTTGACCTTCTGGTTACCCCTCTGAGATTTTCTTTTCAAGCTAACTTTTTTCTTTCCCTTTTTTTTGGTATGTGACCCCAGGCATAGCTCAAAAATTATGCTGGTTTGACACATGGATGCTTCTTTGGTATTTGGGGTTTGCCTGCAGTCTAGACATCCAATAAGCAGCCACCATATCTGTTGCTTCTTTGCTGATTACGCCTGCATTTAGATGGCGTGCAAGGGTTAGAATCCAAAAGTAATCATCACCGGAAAAGAATATCCTCAGAGGCCACGCCCCCACACCTGAACAAATTGAAATCCAGTTTCTGCTTTTCATTGTTTTGTTATTAAACAATCACATTTCTCCCAAGTTTTGGTTCACCAAATTGCAGATACCCAAAGGCAAACAGTATCAGTAACAGTAAACTTCTGAAGTGAATACAAAGAGCATGTCAAGAAAATGAAAAGCTTTGGATTTAATAACTTGATGGCTTCCTTTGGGCAGTTATTTCTGGGGTCATGTGCTTAAAATGCACATGAAGTACTTTGCAAATACACTGAGATTCTTTGTTTGTTTTTTCTTAATTAGTATTTTATAGTCAAGTTCCGGCGAGGATTTCAATATCCTGGGACATTTCAAATACAATATATAGACCTTAATAAAACTTAAATTGCAGATATTTTCAATATCAGGAATATGTGCAACAGAGATTTGGTTTATCAAGGTGAATGAGCTGAGTGGGAAAGACACACAGACCAGGTCTCTGCTGCCTTCCCTTTTTTTGTTACTTTTGCAGGAGGTTGGAAATAAAAAGTTTAGTTGGTGGTTTATTCTAGAACCTCAGGCTGCTGTTGCTCAGTATTCTCAATTCTGTAGGTCTGGACCCTGGATAGTCACTTTTTCCCCAAAGTGGGAGTCAGGCCCTGGGAAAACCTGGCTCATGGGGCTCAAACTCAGGAAGATTTATGTCAGGAAAGCCATTTGAGAATGATTTTCTATGTAAAATAAATTTTTCACTGGGGAAAGCTTACTCTTATTTGAAATATAAACCAACTTTCTAAACTGTTATGAGGACATTAATTTACCATGCCAGGCACACGGTAGGTTGCTTTAAAAATAGGGCATTTCCTTTTTTCCTTAAGAGAAGCTAGGAATATAATTGGTTGAGAAGGAAGGGAGCACACTTGTGGAAGGGAGCACACTTGTGGAGGCACTAGGTTAGTTGTTCAGAAGTCTCGGGGGTTAAAATGCCTACATTCCAAAGCCCGGGTCCTCCTAAATAAGTCCCATTGTGGTCTAGTTATCGCATCTGCAAAGTTAGCAATGATGGGGTTCACAGGGTTGTAAATCATTAAGCAAGGAAGGTGCTTGGTCAATATTGGCTGTTATTCTCACAACTTTGGGAAGGAGACATTTTACAGAAGACAAAACTGAGGAAATATTCTGTAAATGATGAGTGGAAACAATGAGTCCCCCGCCCCCCACCTTCAGGAACTGGTTCTGGGAAGACACTACCTTCACTTCAGCTCCTGGTTCCCTATGCAGTTCTGATTCAACCATTTTACATCAAAAAGTCCTGTGGAAATCTAGAAAATGCCATTTTACTTCTTCCTGCTTTCTGTTGTTCACAAGAGTGTCCGGGAATTCCCACACTTAGTTTTGACTCGGGGTTATAAATTGAAAATATTTTCTTTGATTCTCCAGTTTCTCCTCTAATTGAATCACCAACTAAGGTTTTCTGTATTATGGAAATAATCTGGAAGTGCACCTCGTTCAAAAGAAGGGAGTTTGTTTTCAAGGGAGGGAGATTTCCTTTTTGCACTAAAAATACAGAAGTCACAGGCACATGTACTGTTACATATTCAAGACCAAAGTTTCCATTGGACTAAAACAACTGATTGCTAGCTTGTATTTAGTTGTTTCCACCTATTATAAGTTTGATTTGGCTTAATGTTATTCTAATTTGGTTGATGCTAATGTATGCTGAGTTTAAATAGCTCTCATTCTGAGATTCATTTCTCCCACATTATTCTCCTAGCCTCCTCTTCCTCCCCATATGCTTACTTGAAATAAGCAAGAAATATTTTTTCTACCAATTGTTAGGAAAGCATTGAATTGTTTACTGCTAATCTTCTGTAATTAAAGTAATTGATTTGGTTTACATTTCCTGGAAGTCTGTAAGCCTCAAAACAATTTTTTCTTACAACGTTTTCTTAAACGTTAAACATGACTCCATTCAAAACATAAGTTTTTAGTCCAGCCACCGTGGCTCAGTACTTAAGCATCGACCTATAAACCAGGAGGTCACCGTTTGATTCCTGGTCAGGGCACATGCCTGGGTTGTGGGCTTGATTTGATCCCAGTAGGGAGCATGTAAGAGGCAGCCCGTAAATGACTCATCATTGA